CCACTTACTCAACTATGCTACTGTGGGCAAGTTACTTTTTAAGCTTAAAGTGACTAAAGTTGACACTGCCAGTAATTAGACATATTGGCATCTCATATCCCCTAATATGACACACTGATAAGGGCATATCACCTCTGTGATATTATTGTCCCAAATTCATAACCTTTATCTAATTAAGAGAAAACATAGGCAAAACTCAAAGTGAAGAGTGTTCTACAAAATAATCAGTTTTTTAAAAAAGAATCAAGGTCATGAAAGACAATAAAAGACTATGTAAATACCACAGATTGGTAGAGAATAAGGAGACATGACAAATTAATGTAGGATCTTAGATTAGATCCTAGAACAGAAAAAGAACATAAGTGAAAAAAATGGTGAAGTCTGTACTTTACTTAATAGGTCTGTAGTTTACTTAATAGTACTTTATGAATGCTAATTTCTTGGTTTTGCTAATTGTTTCGATTATGTAAGCTGTTAAAATTAGAAGTTGAGTGAAGAGATACATGAACTCTATGTATTATTTTTACAACCTTTCTGTAAGTGTAAAATTATTTTAAAGTAAAATGTTAAAAAACAGGTTAAAAGGCCAAGGACATTTGATGAGATGGGATGATGGGGGAAAGATAACTGCCAGGATATCTATGCATGGGTTGCCTCTCATTAATTTTGCTTGAGGCATGATGAATTCTTTTTTGATTTGTAAATTCAAGTCACAGTGTTTTTGTTTTGCTGTTAAAATTTCTGCACATTCTTTTTGTTCCATTTATTCTGTATTCTTTTCTTGAGAATTACTATTTTTTGGTTGCACCTGTCTCTCTGCTCTCTCTATTCTAGCATTTTATCTCATCATTTCATCTTTCATGTTATTGTCTTTTACTTTCTGGAAGAATTAAAAATATCCTTCTCTATCAAGGGTTTCATTTTCTTATGTGACTACTGGCCCATTATGACAAAGGCAAATATGATTCTTTCCATCATGTCAATGGTTTTTGGGCAGTATTTTCTTACACTAGCCAGCAACCATTTCATTTTTCCTATTTTTCAGTTTGCAATTGTTTTTAAAAGATCTATTACTGAGAACATGGGATATATCTTAAAAATTATATTTAATTTCCTCTCATACATATGTTCTTATATACATATTTATACTATTCATCCTTGCCTTCAATGTAGTGCCATATTCAATTTTTTTTTCACAGAATCCATATAATATAAATATATACTTTTCTGTTTACTCATCCTTGAATGGCAATCTACCCATGACAATTAGAACTGGTGTCACAAACACTTGATTCTCCTTACTGTGCTATGTCCCCTCTTTTAGATTTACATCAAAAAAGAGGCTTGGTGGACCCAGAACCTACACAATTTCTAATGTCTAAGTGGATGAGCATTTATTGCTCTCCTGCTTCATTCTTTATGAGTAAAAAACTTATTCTAGAGAATCTGAGGCTGTCTATTGTTTGACTATGTATAGCATACATGAAAATTTATACCCTCCTTATATATTCAGAGCTACAAAGCACCAGCTTTTCCTGCCTCTGCTCTCTAGATTACATTGCTTTATACTTGTCCTTCCTAGGTTTTTCAGAATACAACACAATTTTAGTCTCTAAATTGATTTATAAGAAGTATTAATGATACTCAAATGAGGAAATGGTTGGGAAAAAGATACTGGTAGTGGAATCTTTTTGTAAAGTAGAGATAGTTGCTAATTTTTAGGTAAGTGCATGCTCCGGGCCTCTGAACTAGAAGCAGATAGTGGTAGTAGTTCAGATCCCTCTCCAATTTATTTCTGAATCACACTTTGTAGACCACTACTTGTGTTTTTCATTTAAGTCCAATCAGTACTTTAACTAGAAGAAATTCCTTACAGCCTGGGCAAGTGGTTAAATATGATCCTTAATAGCTGTATGTTTTCATCGATTGTTAGTAGACATGGGAGTTAAATAAAATACACATTGAATTTAATCCATATGAGAACAATTTTATTAGATACTTATATTAATGCAAAAATGTAAAAACACTGTAAGAAAACCGAAACACTTTAGAATTCTCCACTCATACCCTTCATACCTTGGGATTTGGTATTTATCTTAGAAACATAATAGTTCATATACCCAGAAATACAGATTTCCCTTTTGTTCCTTCCTAGTCTAATTCAGTGGGATAATTTTGATGTTATGTGGTTTTGCTTTTTTTGACTTTAAAACTTAATGCTCTTTTTTTTCTTTTTCAAAATTACAGATGGGGTCTTGCCATACTGCCAGGCTGGCCTCAAACTCCTGGCTCAAGTGATCCTCCTGCCTTGGCCTCCCAAAGTGCTGGGGTTCAGGTGTGAGTTACCACACGTGGCCTAAAACTTGTTTCTGTGTGAGATGTTACTGCTGAATTAGGGAATGATGGCCCTAATTAGTATCATATTTATCTAGTTACCTCTATATTGGTCTGTTTTGTATTTATTCATTTTTGTATTTGATTTGACAGAGTATGTAGGCTGTGGTTTACAGTCAATGAGTAATTTCTGGTAAATAGTACTTCACAGCAGTTAGACTTGTGCTTCGAACTCTGCATAAGGTTTCTATTTTATGGAATAGATTTGTTGCTTCAAGATAGTTTTGACATCTGAAATTCCTACTTTGGGATATCCTCAATTAACATTCATAAAGTTGTAATCATTAGAGTTTTAAAAATGAATTTTACACTTATAAAAACAACAACTCTTCCAAAGAATATTTCCACCTTTCTATTTTAAAAGTCACCAAGATTTTTGGTACTAGAGAAAATTTGCATTGGAAGTAAAAAAAGGCTAATGTTTCAAATGTCATTCACTAATATTTTAATATTAGTAATATGTTCTAGAAAAAGATTGTTTCATAATGTAGAACAACATTTGTATATTAAGATTTCCATGTTATAATACAAATGCACTATAAATAAAAATAGATAATTTGCCACATAGTAATACATGCATATTAAAGCATTTCTACAGCATTATACAGTTCTAGAAAACTACAGAAGTGGTTTTGGAGTTTCTGTCTCTGAGTGGGGCATCATTTTGTATTGAGGGTCACTAAATCACCTAAAGAAAAATATTGAGTATAAAATGCATAGAACATTTAACCTTAAAAAGTAAAAATGAGAAACACAAAATTCTACATAATTGTCTTGTGTTTCAGTTTTGACTTTAGAAGTCTATTTTTTTTTTATCTCTAACAAAAAAGGAATTGGTAATTATTATTATTTTTTAATTTTAGAGATATACATGGTCCCACTCTGTTGCCCAGACTAGAATGCAATGGCGTGATCATAGCTCACTGTAACCTTGAACCTTTGGGCTCAAGTGATCAGCCTGCCTCAGCCTCCTGAGTAGTTAGCACTATAGGGGTGCACCACCATGCCCGGCTGGTTTTAAAAATTTTTATTTTGTAGAGGCAGGGTCTCACTATGGTCTCAAATTCCTGGCTTCAAGCAATCCTCCTACCTTGGCCTCCCAAAGTGCTGGGATTACAGGCATGACCCACCACACTTGGCCAGAATTGGTAATCTTTATATGACTATATTGAAGAGTAAGACACCAGTTTCTCCGTACAATTTCTGATGTTACCTAATCACAGATCTAAGAAAATTTAGAGAAATATATACTCTTAAGCTAGAAGAATTAAATTTTAAGAACGTTTAACATTAACATCCTTTGGAAATTTCTCCTATCCAAATACCACCCACCACTCCGTCCTCTATTCAAATTATTCAGTTTGTATAATTGTATACATTATACAATTTCCATCACTTATGATACAGCTCTCTCTCAGTAACCGAAAATAACTATCACTTACATAATATGGCACAGCAATATCAGCCATTTCCGCAGAAGTATATTTGGAGTAAATGTTAATGACAGAAGAAGTTTGTTTTAGATATTCTAACAATACTAAAAATGAAGCCTCTATAAGTAATGTTTAGTAACACTATAGGTTTTGACAATATGTCAAAATTATTGTTTTATTTCATGTTTGGTGTATAGTGGTAAAGTCAATGAAGGGATGCAGTGAGTGGTAATGGCGGTGAGTGGTAATGGGGTGAAGGGACACGAGAAGATCAGGAGGTTCCTTAAAGTAGACTGTCTTGGTATTGAGTTCAACACATAGGATGGGCCAGAACATAAATATGAGTGTGAAATAGCTAATATCCATTATTTTAATGCAAAGACTACACCTATCTTCCTCACCAAAGTACACTGTATACAGAATTCATATTACCATCTCAACAGTTGCTCTTTACTGCAGATAAAGTTCATTTCCTTAAAGGGATGATACAAGAGTTTCACTAAGAAACTTGTTCATGAGGGAATAGGAAGAATTCCCTGCTACATAGTAGATAGTCAAAATATATTGAGGATATACATGGGTATAACTAGATTATAATTCTTTGGCCTAAATCTGACTAAGAAGGCATGAATATGATTCCCAAACTGGAAGAGGAGATCATCAATTGTTTTCATCTCCCCATAAATGTCACATGTCATCAACATAGATAATAAAAATCAGAGTACTGTATATTAAATATCTAGAATAGGCAAATTCATATAGATAGAATATAGATTACAGGTTACCAGGGACTAGGGGTTGGGAAGAAGCACGAAGGAGGAGTTTTTGCTTAATGAGTGCAGAGTTTCAACCTGGGGTGAGGAAAAGGTTTGGAAACAATGGTGATGGTTGCATAGCATTGTGAAAGTAATTAATGCCACTGAATTGCACACTTAACAATGGTTGAAATAGAAAAATTTTAAGTTGCATATGTTACCACAACAAATACAAAAATGACCATTATAGTTAATTTAGAATTATGTTTCCTTCACACGAAAGAATTTGCTAATTCTGTACTTCTGATCACAAATATGACGTAAATATCCAAAGTTGTTCCTTTCTAGAAGAGAAAGTTGGAAAACTTGAAATACAATGGAAGAAATACAAAGTAAAAAGTCAAAACAAACTTCTTACTTTAATTGGTTCAGGCTGCATCACAGGTGCAGGCATACTGATGGCACTTGGAGCATAAACCTGGTGATATGTTGCTTGAACTCCATGATCAGAATAAGGCTATTACAAAAAAAGAGAGAAAAAAATATCACCTTTCATTTATTAATTCAAAATATTTACTCAGCATTTACAATATACTAATCATCTAACTATACAATGTAGAAACAGTTAAAAACACATTCCCTTATGTTTAATTTTATAATCTGATGAGTTAATATAATGAATTAACTTATAATCTGATGAGGGAAATAGTAGTCAGAATGATCATAAGTTCTATAGACACATATAGGGATACAATAGGCAAGGGAAGAGATTATGTAAATGCAGTTATGGCTTGTCCAGCAGATGGTGGTACCATTCACTGGAATATAGAATACAAGGAAAGCTCAATACTCATGTAATTGTGTGTGAGGGGTTGGAGAGAAGGAGTTAGGTTTGTGATATACAAAATTTGTGGTATTTGTAGGAATTCTAGTAGAGGTATACTGTTGATAGATGTGGCTCTAGACCAGCACTGTCAGATAGAAATATAATGTGAGCTACATATGTTATTTAAAATTTTCCCATTGTCATGTTAGAAAAGTAAAAAAAAAAGGTTGAATTAATTTTTAATAATGTCTTTTATTTAAACTAATACATATTAAATATTATCATATAAAAGTACAATCAATTTAAACATTAGCAAGATGTTTTACATTCTTTCTTCATGCTGTGTCTTGAAAACCCAGTATGTATTTTACACTTAGGGGACATCTCAATTCTCTCTTACCACATTTCAAGTGCTCAATTGCCACATGTGGCTAGTGGCTATTATAGTGGATAGTGCAGTCTAAAACTCAGGAGTGAGACTGGGGCTAGATATATGGCTATGGATGATAACATCAGAGTGAGTATATGTGGTGAAAGAATGGAGAACCAAATATGAAATCTGCTTAAAAAGGAAAACAAAAGGAGGTAAAAGCATTGCCAGAAGAGAGTAGTATTATGGAAACCAAGGGTAGGAAGAGTTTTAGAGAGTAGGTACAATGTCTCTGGGAGGTCAAATAAGATTAAAAAGAAAGGAAAGTTTGTGTTGGTTAGAAAGTCATTGAGGACCTTTACCCAATGCAGCCTCAGCAGAAAGGTAATGAAGTAGACTTCAGCAGGTGAGGAGTGAATGGGTAGTGAAGTAGCAGAAATTCTGAATGTAAACTACTTTTTCTAGAAGCTTGGCTTTGAAAGGTAGCAGAAAATTAGGGAACTGGTGGGAGTGTGTGTCACAGGATAATATTGCCTCTTACAAGGTGCTGGGCACTATACAAAGAACCTTGTATACCATATCTCTAGTCTTTACATCAATCCTGCAAAATAGTTTTTCCTGATGTCCTCGTTTTACAAATAAGGAAATTATGAAAGCAGGACTATGAAGGGTTAAGCAATTCCTCAAAGTAACACAGTTAGTAAGTGGTGGAGCTGTAAACCAATGGAGAGAAGAAGACTTCAAATACAAGAGAGAAAAAGAACAGTAGATGGAATGAGGTCCCTGAGGAGGAGGGAACCGATAGCATCTAGACTGCAAGAGGTAGAAATAACCTTGGACAAGACTGAATGTCACTAAATAAATATAAGAAGCCAAGGATGAGTTAGGATACAGGTAAGTTTGTGTTTCAGGGTTTGGAGCCTGAGTTGGTTTTCACAAATTGGTTCTTTCTTACTCTACAAAACAGAAGGCAAAGCTACATTCTCAGAATGACATGGGCAGGTGGTGGAGTGGGTGCAATCTGGCAGTACTGAGGACGCGGCAAAAGTTTAAAATAATCATTGAAATAAGTGAGTGAAGATGGTAACTTTTTTTTTAAAAAAGGAAATCTGACTATAACACTCACAAGAAAAGTCCTGAAGTTCTTAATTTTAGGGAAAAAAACACTTCAACTGTAAACCATCTCACTCTATTCATTAAGTTATATATTAGTCAGACTATACCCGCCACTAGAAACAATACCAAAACAAAAACATGCAAATATTTTGTATGGAAATACCACACAAAGTACAAGTTATAAGGTAATGATGAGCAATATTTTCAGAAAAGCTTTATTAGATTCCATTAAATAGCGCATATATTCTGATGGTAAGTATCTGATATCAGGAATTAAAAATATGATCTAATGCCAAAAGAGATTCTGACAAAAAATCAAATGTAAAACCATTCTCATCTCAGTACCTGTCCTTGCAAACCAGAAAACAACAAAAAGAACAAAATATAGATTTTTAAAATGCCATCATCAATTAAAGAAGAAAATGCCTATGACTCCCAAACTATACACAATGTAGAATGTCTGCCAAGTGCTGTGCAAGTTGGACCAACATAAGGGAGGATTCTGAAGCCTCCTCAGGCTTCAGAAAGGATAAAGATTTCCCTAGAGGTCGATGTTCTGGAAGACCTCCTCAGAGATACTTTAGAGTCTTGAGTGCAGAAGTATGTACTGGTCAGGGTGAGGTAGAAGCACAAAATATCTCCACAGAGACCCTATTAATAATTAGGATAATAATTAAAATAATTAAAAATCCTGACTTAATAACAGGGGAGGCAGAACTGATGGATACATCATGTTTCTACAATTTTTCTTGTCTACTACCTAGCCTGAGGAATACTACTGCTGGAGGTGAAGCAGGGGGAAAGTGGCAAAGGAAGTAGCAATTGTCACATCCCAATACAGAACCCCTGTGATAAAAAGGGCTTTACAAGGAACAAAAATGATCTCTGGCAAGGATGTGGAGGAAAGGGAATCCTTGTACACTGCTGGTGGGAATGTAAATTAGTATGGCCATTTTGGAAAATAGTAGGGTGGTTTCTCAGAAAATTAAAAATACTATCATGTGATCTAGAAATTCCACTACTGTGTATACACATCCAAAGGAAATGAAGTGAGTATGTTAAAGAGATATCTGCATTTCCATGTTCACTCCAGCATTATTTATAATAGTCAAGATATGGAACCAACCTTAGGCTCCATCAATCGGTGAATGGATAAAGAAAATGTAGTATTTATATACACAATGGAATACTGTTCAGCCTTAACAAAGAAGGAGATCCTGTCATTTATGACAACATGGATGAACCTGGAGGACATTATGCTAAGTGAAATAAGCTAAGCACAGAAAGACAAATACTACATGATTTCATTTATATGTAGAATGTGAAAAAGTCGAACTCATAGAAGCAGAGAGAAGAATGGTGGTTGCCAGGGGCTGGGGATGGGGAGTGAGATGGGAGATGTTGGTTAAAGGGTACAGAGTTTCAGTTCTAAAGGAAGAATATGCCCTTGAGATCTACTGTATAGCCTGACTATAGTTAATAATAACGTATTATATACTTGAAAATTGCTAAGACTTAAGGTACCTTCAACGTTCTCACCGCAAACAAAAAAAAGGATAACCATGTGAGGTGATGGATGAGCTTGATTGGGGTAATCATTTCACAATATGTACATATATCCAACCATCATGCTATACACTGTAAATGTATACCATTTTTCATTATTTACAATTTAGTAAAGTTGAGGAAAAAAAGAAAAAAGCAGCCATAAAAAAATAGGTGGGGCAGGCCGGGGTGCAGTGGCTCATGCCTGTAATCCCAGCACTTTGGGAGGCTGAGGTGGGCGGATCATGAGGTCAGGAGATGGAGACCATCCTGGCTAGCATGATGAAACCCCATCTCTACTAAAAATACAAAAAATTAGCTGGACTTGGTGGCACATGCCTGTAGTCCCAGCTACTTGGGAGGCTGAGGCAGGGGAATCACTTGAACCCAGGGGGCAGAGGTTGCAGTGAGCCGAGATCGTGCCACTGCACTCCAGCCTGGGTGACAGAGCGAGAGTCCATCTCAAAACAAAACAAACAAACAAAAATGGGGGGGCATGAAACAAACAATAAAGAAATCCTAGTAAAAGTATTGATAGTAAATATTAAGATCCAACTGTGGAAATTATTGTTTCAGGACAAAATTATGTATTACAAAAGTAATAAAACAATGGACTTAAATTGGGAGGTAAATGCTAATTTCATAATCTTTCATGACACTGATTTAAGACATACTATGCCCATGGTACTGGTACCAAAACAGACACAGATCAATGGAACAGGATAGAGAACTCAAATAAGACCACACATATCTACAACCATCTGATCTTCAACAAACCTGATAAAAAAAAGCAATGGGAAAAGAATTCCCTGTTTAATAAATGGTGCTGGGGGGTCCAGGGCAAGATGGCCAAATAGGAACAACTGTGGTCTGCAGCTTCCAGTGAGACCAATGCAGAAGGTGGGTGATTTCTACATTTCCAACTGAGGTACCCAGTTCATCTCACTGGGACTGGTTAGACAGTGGGTGCAGCCCATGGAGGGTGAGCAGAAACAGGGTGGGGTGCTGCCTCACTGAGGAAGCACAAGGGGTCAGGGAACTCCCTTCCCCAGCCAAGGGAAGCCATGAGGGACGGTGATATCTGACCCAGATACTATACTTTTCCCATGGCTTTTGCACCCGCAGACCAGGAGATCCCCTTGGGTGCCTACACCACCAGGGCCCCGGGTTTCAAGCACAGAACTGGGCGGCCATTTGGGCAGACACTGAGCTAGCTACAGGGTGTTTTTTGGTTCGTACCCTAGTGGCGCCTGAAACCCCAGAGAGGCAGAACTGTTCATCCCCTGGAAAGGGAGCTGAAGTCAGGAGCCAAGTGGTCTTGCTCAGCAGATCCCACTTCCACAGAGCCCAGCAAGCTGAGACCCATTGGCTTGAAATTCTTGCTGCCAGCACAGCAGACTGAGTCCACCTGGGACACTCGAGCTTGGTGTGGGGGACGGGTATCCACCATTACTGAGGCTTGAGTAGGCGGTTTTCCACTCAGTGTAAATAAAGCCACCAGGAAGTCTGGACTAGGCAGAACCCACTTCAGCACCACAAAGCCACTGTAGCCAGACTGCCTCTCTAGATTCTTCCTCTCTGGGCAGGGCATCTCTGAAAGAAAGGCAGCAGCCCCAGTCAGGGGCTTATAGGTAAAACTCCCATCTCCCTGGGACAAAAC